TTGACAGGTTTGACTATAGCAGCATCTGAGAAAGAGGCTGAAGCTGGAGGACCACTTCTCAGGGTGTGATGTTGACCAAATCTTGCTGATAGATCACGATGGCTAGAATGGAATTCAGAAATTGCATTTACTGCTGGTTGGGGAGGGGGTGCAGGGTGATGAAAACCAGTTGATTCATACAATAATGAGGAGGTGACTCTATTGTCCATTAAACTGTGGTTGGAATGCATACTTAGAACACTATCAGTAACACTGGGTGGACTTGATAATGGTGGATTATAAAGGGGCACATCTTGCTGAAAATGCACTGGAGTGAAAGTTCTTGGTGACAGAAGATTGAATTCAGCTTGTCTTGGACTTGGAGGCATAAACATATGATGATGCATTGGTCGGAAATGTGCTCCAACATACAGATGACTTGGAGGACCCTGATGTGATGATGGGGTTGGGGCTGGGGCTGGTGGACCCACAGCAACAGGTGGTGGGGGTGGTGGAGGCGGTGGTGCAGGATGTGGTGGTGGAAGTGCATGTACATGTCCCGGAATAGAATGGTTTGGCAGAAGACTATGCATAGGTACATGATGTAAACCTTCTTAAAGGATTTGGAATCGTTGGCGTAGATGTATTACAAAAAATTGGCTGCATAAATGGTAAATTCACTCTAGAAATGAGATCAGTCGCTAGAGATGATGGAATTTGTTGGTTTGGTGGTTTATGATGCACAGTTAATTTAGCAGCTTGAGCAGGTTCAGGTTTATTGCCATTGTCACTTCTAGAAGGAGACATTGTTTGATCTTCCCTGTTTGATTTTTGATGTACTGGATTATGAGGTTTTTGTATATTACCACCTTCTTGCTGGGATGTCTTAGCATTTTTATTATAGATCTCACCCTGTTCTTTGATCCAGATCTTTGATCATGTTTATCATGCTTAGAGGAAGTCTGTTTATTTGGTATGGTGTATTTACAGTTTGGGAAATCTTGGTTGCCTTGTAGGTAAACTTGAATCAGATGAGTTTGCTAGCTGTTTGCCAGTTATTTGTGAGGGCAGTACTTGCCTGTTTTGAATGGAACGTGTTCCTCTGCCTTGTTTTTGTCTTAGGGTTAGTGTATTTAATATTGTTGTCTGATTTGTCATTTGCATTGGCACATCAACTCCTGTGGATTGATCTAGTCCTAAGCGCATAACATTGCTACTGGGGTTTTGTTCAGAATGCCCAGTTGGCATCGTTTTTTGTTGTAAATTATTAGAGGTTGTCGGACTTGTGTGACTAGATGTTGGACTGACAACACTGACCACTGGTCTTGTGATTTGATCCATGTCCCTATTAACACAAGTATCAGATGTTACATTTTGCAGTTGAAGAGTAGATGTCCCATGACTCAACTGATTAGAATTTTTTGAAGATTGGTTCCCGATAAATTGATTGGAAACACAAACATTGTTTTCAATGTATGGTGATAAACCTGGTTGAACAGAAGTCCCTATAGCATTTGGCATGGTCGGACTTCTCACTGAATTGTTGGTAGAGGAGTTTTGTGTTAAATTCCCCCTTTGCTGACTGAATGCTATGCCTGACTGATTTACAAACGGTGGTACACTTAGCACATTTCTGGCTATGTTCTGTGTGAACCTCTGTCCCTCTGACACTACATTCATAGGTAGTTGAGATGGACTTGGAGTACCACCACTGGTAGATTTTCTTTGTAATCTTTGTTGTGTTGCACATCCAGAATGAGCCATTGTCATTGAGGGTGGAGAAAACATAGTTGAGATACTTGTCCCAATGCTGGATGTGGTAGGAATGTTATTATTTAATTGTACATTACTAGAACACATTGAGCTCCTTGGATGGTTTGAGAAAGTGAATGATGTATTATTGATGTTTGAAAGTCTGGAATTGACTGGTGCTGTTGTAACAGTTACCAGAGGAACATGGTGTTGAGTAGATATGGCTGCTGCATGTGCTGGCCATGAAAGAGATGTTGTATCACTTCTTGATGTTGATGACACAGCAGAAATCTGGCAAACTGGGGCAGCAATATTTGATCTTGAAATAGGTGGTGGTGGTGGAGCAGGATGTTCCATGTGAAGTGAAGATACTGATCTCTGAGGAATAATTGACGTCCTTATCGGCAGGGTAATAGAAGCTGTAGAGGAAGGTGATTTCCTTGAATTCTGTCTAGCCTGTGAGACACCATCACTCATTGGTATCAACGTTGACTGTAAACATCGTGGAACATTTTGTATTACATGTGGAGTAGTCCTTGAGGGTAGATGAAGATGTTGAGAGCGGTTAGCATTCTCAGGCCTTGGTGTGTCATTGGAAACTGCATTTGAATTCAATGAATTTGGAACATTCCTGGATATAGTGTTTGTTAGATTTTGAAACGTAGCACTGTTGGGTTGTCTGGAGATTGCAACAGGTATTGCTGCTGAAGCTGGGGCTGGGGATGTGCCTGTGTAGCCATTGGAGTATTGTAATGTTGGTGGATATGCAGATTGAACAAAGGAATTCTTATTAGCATTTATGTTATGAAAAGTACTTGATATGACTGGCAATGTAGAAGCAACATGGACTATGGAAGTTACTGGTAAAGGTGACGTGAGCTGCATTGGTGGTCCGGGAATCGCATCAGTTGACGCAACTTGTTGAGAAAAAGTTGACGATGGATGGATTGATGGTCTGGGCATCAAACTAGTAGAAGTAATTTGGTGAGCAAAGTATGCCCCATTTGTTGGGGCAATAGAACTCGCAGAAGACACTGTTGATAATGAACTTGTCGGACTCTGTTGAACAGGAGAAGCATTTACTTTTTGACCAACATTCAAATTACTTGTAACAGGAGATGAGGAAAATCTATTATTAGAGTTACTGACAACACTATTAGAAGCATTTGGTTGATACATGTGAACTTGTCTTGTGGAAGTTGTTGGAACTGAAAGTAATCCTTCACAATGCGTCTTATTGATTGTGGAGTTTTCACTCATGGACAATTTGCTTGTGTTCAGAGTTTTGCTGGGAATTCTATTTTCTCTTGAATGATTTTGTAAATGTGGAATAAACATAGTGGTAGCTGTCTGGGTTGGCTCCTGAAGAGATAATGGTAGTCTGCTTAATCCAGAAATACTGACTGGTTGAGGCTGCTGTTGCAACTGTGATTGGAATGGTTGTTGAATCTGTTGCGCTTGGGCAGGATGTGATCGTGATAACGGTAGTCTCTGATACGGCATTTGAGCTGCTAGATTGGAAATCATAGTACTCAACGATGGTGGTTTATACATTGTCACAACATGAGTGGACACTGGTGTACTTGGTTTGGGTGTCCATGTAGTTACAGCTGGACTGGTTGAACCTGTTGCAGTAGAATTGATGCTAGTTTCAGAGACAGATACAGACTGAGAATCAGTTCTGAAGGAAGTACAGGTTTCAGAAATGACTGTTGATGTTACTGGGGGAATGTGCAACATCCTTGATGTATTCACTGAATGTACAGGTGGAATTAATGTTGGTTGAGACATGTTTGCAGTGTTTCTTATCACCATGTCAGTATCAATAAAAAAACTTGGATGTTTTTGTTGCGAAGACGTCCTTAATGGTTGATTGGTACTTGCATAAGACTGCACATATTGTCCCGTTGGTTTTGGCACACTATATAAAGCAGAGGTATTAGGCATAGTTCTTGCATAGGACTGGGATTGGCTATTGTTTTGATACAATATTCCTGAATTTGAATTATTTACGTTTCTTGCCTCGGTTCCTACTGTGTTTGCAGATATAGGCGGGATGGAAGTTTGAATTGGAATACCAGGACTATGTAAAGCAGGAGATAGCTGTGAAGGGTTCATTACTGGTGTCATAACAGTTTGTCCCTGGGGTAACATAGATAATTGAACAGCACTAACATTTGTAGGCTGGACTGCACTTATTAAAACAGGTGACATAAGTGGAGCAGCAGTATTGCCATATGATGCAGGTACAACAGGCATATTATTATGAGACACATTGCTAGCAACTTGGTAACCTTGGGAAGTATTCTCTGCAATCACAGCAGCATTAGGCATTGGTGTAATACCCATAGCTGTCTTAATATTGCTATACATAGGACTATTCAGTAACAAACTGTATTTGTATTTACTTGGTCGTAATCGCAGAATATCTTTCACATTTTGAGGTAGGTTAGCATTCACTGGAATATTATTATTTCCAACTGTATTTGACATATTTAATCCTGCCGGCACATGGCTTTGAGTCTGTTGCATTGCTGCGTAGTTCTGGGCTTGAACACCATTCATCATTGCTTTAGCACTGGCCCAGTTTATATCCTGCGACTGCTGCTCAGTAATATTACTTAGAGACGTCTGCGACAACAGAGTACTGTGATTCATGCCCATATTTGGGCTTGGCATGGCAGTGATACTTGAATTAGGCGGTGGCACGACAACCTGAACAATTCCATCGGAAGTCATATTTTGAGCATTAAGTGTAAAAACTTTCGTAATACCACCATCCATGTGCTTGCTACCCGACTGTAATATAATTGGTGCATTCCCTAGAACTGAAAAACCAGAGTTCAACACCATTGTTCTGCAATCTGAGGACATTGTGTTCAACTTAGAGTTTTCACTTGGTGTTGTATTACATGATGACACAAACTTGACAGGAACAGTTGCCACAACAACTGGCTGATGTTGGTCCTTTCCAAGAATAGGCTTAGGTGCAATAGGCTTGAATTTCTTTCTACAAAGATCATCAATATCTGGACTATGAACCCTGCTACCATTTCCAGATTTACTGTATTTTGAAATTTCCTGGATTTTTTCATCTGCTTCCAACTCTATTTCTACCTGGATACTCCTTGTCATAAAATCTAGTAGGAGAGAATAAGAAAAAATACAGATTTATGTTAATGGTTTGACTAAGTGAACCCTATTTTCTCTATTAGCAGTGTATGTATAACTTACTAAGATGTTTTTAGGGCCCAAATAGGTAATATTTTAATGATCGGTGTGCAACAAATTTTTGGTTGATATTCACATCTATTGAAAATAAGCTTTTAATAGAGCAAATACTTAAATGTTAAGTCCTACCAACAATAGTTTGTGACCACAGTGACACTAAAATTGTGAATAAACATAAAAAACAAGATTTTATAAAGAGTCATGTGACCTTAAAACTAACATTGCTTCACAAAAATAAAGAATGTACAGGTTTGATAGGTTTTTATAGCCATCAAAATTTTCCTAGCAAAAATAATATCCTGCTACATTATTACAACAAGCCACCTGATGGTCGAAATAGCTCCGTTGTCTTCATTATCATGGAACAAGAATCAGTAAAGTGGCATTGTGGTTGATGGTTTCAGAATAGTTCTCGAAAATACCATTTTTTACCAAAAATGACAAAAATATTCAGTAAAAATCCAAATTTGCATATTTTGACACAAATTTAACAAATCTGACAGAGAACCACCCCAAGTACCATTGCTGCAAATATGAAAGCATTTGGACTTGCGGTTTCGGACTAGTTGTCGAAAATAACATTTTTTACTAAAAATGACAAAACTATTCACTGAAAATCCAAATTTGCATATTTTGATACAGATTTAACAAATCTGACAGAGGACCACCCCACATATCCTTGCTGCAAATATGAAAGCAATTGGACTTACGGTTTAGGACCAGTTGTCCAAAATAAAAAATTTTACCAAAAATATTCACTAAAAATCCAAATTTGCATATTTTGACACAAATTTAACAAATCTGACAGAGAACCACCCCAAGTACCATTGCTGCAAATATCAAAGCATTTGGACTTACGGCTTCAGACTAGTTGTTGAAGATAACATTTTTTTACCAAAAATGACAAAAATATTCACTAAAAATCCAAATTTGCCTATTTTGATTTCAAATTTAACAAATCTGACAGAGGACCACCCCAAGTACCAATCTGATTAAAATCTGATGTAGTGTACAGGCTTTAATTATTTTGGGTATAAACTTATTTTAATTTTATTTTTTATTACTTTTGTTATTAATGACTTTATTTTATTATTTTACTTTGATTTTGTGATTTTTTTTAATTCCGCCCTACATACATCTGACCCGATATGTAACGAGATTTCAACAAGACCCACTATCGACGATTTTAGTCGACGAATCACAGACCTCCTTCTATAGCGCACATGATGACGTCACCGGGCAGAGTCAGGTGGAAAACACACTCAAATAAAATAGCGGATTATATGGACATTAGCGACCGAGAAAAACACGGCTTTTCGGTAAGTTTATCATTGTCAAATGCAACGAAAGTCATTTTTTATGTTTATATTGTGGCTCGAATGGTTAGATCGTTATTTTGTGTAGTTATTCTGGGAGTTACGATTTTGTACACACCGGTTCGACCGAACACCGGTGTCTTTTTCCAGTCGCTTGCCCTGGAGACGGGTGATGTTTTGTTGACGACCGGGCCAAAATCGTCTACAGTATTGAAGCCGTAGCTGTAAATATTCATCAAAATGTATCAACATTTTGTACATTATACAATAACTTTTTATTAAAGTAATTGAGCTGATTTGGAGTGGAATAAAATATTTTTTATTTGGAACACATCTCGGGCCAGTGACCGTTATACAATTTAAAATCAGTTTGCATTGTTTACTATAGCTGTTTACAGTGTTCTAATCATTACGATTTACTTATTTTTTTGCTTCCATTCTAGATAATCTTGCTCAGTGTTTGATGTTGAATAAACGAACCTTGGCTGGCGAAGATGTATCAGGAAGTGTAGACATTTGTTGGAAGTGAAAAAAATATTCAATGTAATGACTAAACTTGTAAAATGCTGTGGAATTTCTTTGGTAAATAAAAATATACTAGCAATTTTCTATTAATGGTTTATTTAAGTGGGCAAAATATAATGTACAGAAAGATTGCCGGTAGAGTATCGCTACACTGAAAAGTAAGCAACCGACAGTCTGTATAAAAGGGGGCAGTGATTGGCTGTTACTTACGCGAGATTTGAACGGGACTTACATAGGCGTCGGATCAGATGTATGTAGGGTGGAATTAAAAAAAAAATCTCAAAATCAAAGTAAAATAATAAGATAAAAATGCATTAATAACAAAAGTAATTAAAGCCGCAAGCGGCGTCACCGGGGCCCAAGCTGACAAGATTCTGTTTCATAATTAATGAGATCACATGTTAGACATCAGGTAGCTTGAATTATCAGTAACATGAGATCAAAATGAAATTGG